AATGATACAGGGAAATTGAGAAGATGCACGAACGCCACTGTTCACGATACTCAGCCATGTCACTGTGTCTCCAACCATCAGGTACGACCATCCAGAGGTCGCCATCCAGGGAGCCTAACGGGATGTGGACTCTTGGTTAAGGTTTTTATACCCTCATGCCAGATCTTGGCTTGACCACCCATGACTTTCTTCCACCCACTACCTGCTTCGCCGAACCTCGCTCGCCGTGGCAGCCTATTTGGAGACATGTGTGGCACATGCCCCCACCAGCGTAATCTATGGACGTCGTCCACTTGCTCCAGTTGGCGACCGCGATTGCCTGAACTTTTCACCTGGCCTCAACATTACTCGTCCGGCTGCCCCACCAGATTCGTGCAATGCTGCGTAGACAGCGGTGTTCAAACACCGGTATTCTATCTTTGTCCTGTTTTCTTAATGTTCAAGTTTCTGCTCCATGTAGCAGCAGGGTCGAGTAAAGGCTGCAGCAGTTCGGCCAGTCTTGCTCTACAGTGCGGAGACTTGGCCAGTACGACAAGAGGATAAAAAATAAATTTTTGTTGTTCGAACNACACCGCTGTCTACGTCGCATTGCCCGAGTCCGGTGTGGTAACCGGACGAGCAATGCTGAGGTTAGACGCAGAGTTTTAGGTAATGAAGATCGTCCTTTGGAGCAAGTGATCGACCTCTATAGATTGATTACGTTGGTTCGGTCATGTGTTACGCATATACCTAATAGGTTGCCGCTACGAGCGATGTTTGCCGAAGCAGGGCGTGGTTGGAAAGAAAATCAAGTGAGGTCAAANGGACACTGCGATATGGCTGGGTGGCACTCGTGTATCTACTCCTTATTCTCCCAAACCACTCCATATGAATTTTCCATCTTCCGCTTTCAACTTTCCAATCCTCATTGTGCTCTTTTATCCAAATGGGACTCCAAAAGACAGCAACCGAAACCGGCACACGACAGTGCATGGTAATGGTTGTAAAATTAACTGAACTGAACGCACGAATCGCAGGGAGATTGATTACATGTGCGCTTTTGTATCTAAGGTGGATTTAAGCTACCGGACATTCTATAATTACCTTCCGAAGTTTGTAACTACTGGTTGTATCCGCAGTAGTAAAGCTAAGATTGAGGATCTTATAGGTTCTGATCTACCTGTATATCAAATCTGAAAACGTCTCTCGATCGGTCGACTATCTTCATTAAATGGACGCAGAGACGAGCTATTTAGAGTTTGTTTTTATCAGTGGGCGAAATTACTGCTTTTCACTGCGTGGTTACTAGACAATTCTCAACCATATCGCCTGCATACTGCTCATTTCCTATGATCCATGGATCGATTTGGATCAGTCAAATAATAACCAACGCGTTGTCAAATACAATACGTAAAATTATCCCGAAGGATTCACGTGGTAAGTCTACAGGAGCTCTCCTTTTTCATTGCCCCGGATGCTTTTCCATTTAATTTCCACACCTCGCCTTTTTTAGTCCAGAACTCTGTGCGGATCAAGTCTACTCAGAAAAGCACATTTGAATATCAAACTTTTTCAGCAGTTGAAAACACCGAAGTGTATAATTGTTTACCATCCGATGATGTAAGGTACACTTCTTTCGTAAAGTGTAACACACAGAAGTACTCTCAAGTAAATACAACTGTTGATCGATTGTGGTAGATCGCTACAAAATTGCAGCGTTTGCATATCGGTTTCTCGCTTTTCTTGTAGCTCTACGCACTTGCTCAAAGAAGAATCGAAGAAAAAATTCACAATCATATTTCAGAATTTCTTGATGTTCATCTGGAGTTTTGTTTCGTTTCCATAAAAACCATTTACTGCACATTCAGGTTCATTGAATATCGACCGGAATCTGGTTCGTGGGTGTTCGAAGTGAAGCACTTCTCCAAGTATGGTTTACAAGATTCTGATGAAGAAGATGCACCTTCGGAGTCTGGTCATGCTGCCATAGCCAACAATCAAGCAGCCGGCACTTTGACGGCCGGAGGTCATCCTCTGGAATCGGACATACTCACGTCATCAGCTCATCTTCGTACGAGTTTACTGGTCACAAAAAGATCATCAGAACAGCGCGACGAGCCGAGAGAATCAGAGAAAACTGAACCGGCTATTAGTGATCGTCATCTGTGGGCGGTGAGCATGTTGCAAACGGTTGTCATATGATTTATCCCATACTCCAGTCGTCGTCGCTGTTAATGTTGATGTCCTCATATCTTTTTTTGTAATCTCCACTGGACAGTGTGCAGTATGACAACATTACTTTCCTCCATAAACTGTCATTATCATCTCTACGTTAAAATATTCAAAACGAATATGTAACCTATATAAATCTAATCAGCAAATAACACTCCGACTCCCAAGCATACACACTCATTTTTTGAAACGAATGTCATTTTGTTTGGGTAGTGATCTGGTAAATTCATAATGCAATCAATCCGTGAAGTTAAGGACTTCTGATACCAGTTTCGCCTCCAACGTGCTAGGCCCGTTGTTCTTTCGCTTTCTCGGTCATTTACCAGATTCTCCGATGGTTGTAAGAAGCGAAAGCGTGTAGCACGGTGTAGATTCGTACAAACTGATCAAAAAGTGCTTTGTATTATTTCGAGGGTAACTGAAACCCAAAAGCGTCGTTTTATGGTGTGCAAAGAGCACTATTTCCTAGCGAACGACCGAAATCTTTTGTTCGACTCAACTGTTATTAAGGTAATCTGATCAACCAACAAGAATACTGAATCCACATCAGTCGAACGATAAATGAGCTCTTAGGGAGCCGTTAGTAACCACACTGCCTTGCATTCCACACTTGGTTGTTCAAGGGCTGGAGGTGCGACCTCGGAAGAAAGTCATGCCACACCGGAGGTGGTTTTGGTGTCATACTGCCGGGAGACTTTGTGATCTTCGGTAAATTGGTGTATTTTATTCAAGGATCCACTCAAAGTAAATTGACAGTAAAAGTCCTTGCTATCCACTACACATGATAAGTGAACGTATTAGGGTGGTAGGTAGCTTGATCGAGGTTTGTGGTTAATAGTGCATAACAGAATTGCTCCGTGTTATTCATCGTACTTTGGACTATTGTTGCGTCTTTCAGTTTGTTTTCAAAAGGTTTTTACCACAGTACATATGATAATGATGTGAGAATTATAGGTGTCAGTGGCTTTCTCCTCATTCGTGCAAATGTAATACTGTCAGACTTATAAGATGAAAGTGGAGATTGCACATATTATCTATAACTGCGCTTGCGACCTAACTGATAGTAGATACTCATTCTGTCTGGTTTAAAATTCTCAATTGGTTAAAGACCTTTTGATGTATTTTATCATATCGTGCGCTATCGTCAGCAGTCGTGGTGATTACCTAACGGAATGCACCGAAGCTCATATAGCTGATCAGTTTTGAGTGTACTCGATTTCTTTGGACAACAGAGTGGTGGAATGGTTTCAAACACCGTTCAAGGTACTCTTGCACATGAACCTTACCTGTCAGATCAGTCCGATTTGCATATAATAAATGAGAGAATCCGCGGCGCATACTGGTTCAGACTCCGGCCGGGCTATCATAAGCGAAGATAGACCTGACATAAGAAGTTAAATGTATAACACTTGCCTCCCGTTTGTGCGGTCTCAAGGTAATGTCAAGTCAGTTTTTAATTTTAATCATCCTTCATCATCATCACCATCATCATCATCAATCAATCATCATAAACCAAGCATAATCATCCATCATCATCGTCATAATCAATTATCAACAATCCATCGATCATCATCAATTAATCAATCACCATCAATCAATCGTCATCAGTCAATCATCATCAATGAATCAATCATCATCCATCAATCATAATCAACCAATCATCAATCAATCATCGTCAATTATTCATCCTCCATCAATCGTCATCATTCAATCAATCTTCATAAATCAGTCATCGTCAATAATGATCAGGAATCAATCTTCATCAATCCACCATTCATCATCAATCCCCCCGGAAGACATCATCAATGAATAACCATCAATCAATCAGTCATCATCAATCAATCATCGTCCATGAATCAATCATCATCATCATCAATTCATCAATCATCATCGTTCAATCATCATCACTCAATCGTCGTCAATCAATCATCATCAACCGATCACGATCAATCAGTCTTCGGCAATCAATCGTGAACAGTCATTCATCTTCAATCATCGATCTCCAATAAATCGTCGTCATGAAACATTCATCGTGCATGAATCAATCATCATCATCATCATCTATCAATCAATCATAAATCCATCATCATCAATCAGTTTTCATCCATCAGTCATCATCAATCGATCATCATCAATCGGCCAGCGTCAATCAGTCATCATCAATGAATCATCATCAACCATTCATCACCAATCAATCATCTTCAATCAACCATACTCAATGGAGCATCATCATCATCGTCTCAATCAGTCATCATCAGTCTTTCATGACCAACCATTCACCATCAATTAATCACCTTCAATCAACCATGATTAATCAATCGTCATCAATGATTCATCATAAATCAAGCATCACGATTCATCATCATCATTGTCATAATCAATCATCATCAATCAATCAATCAGAATCATTCTACCACGATCAATCGGTCTTCGGCAATCAATCGTCATCAATCAATCATCTTCAATCATCGATCTCCAATAAATCGTTATCATCAATTCATCAATTATCATCGGTCAATCATCGTCAATCAATGATCAATCCATCATCATCAATCATATTTCATCAATCAATCATCGTCAATCAGTCATCATCAATCGATCACCGTCAATCAGTCATCATCAAGGAATCATCATCAACCATTCATCTTCAATTAACAATGCTCAATTGATCATCATCAATCGAGCATCATCGTTCCTCGTCTCAATCAGTCATCATCAAATAATCATCATCAAGCAATCGTCATCGATCAATGAATCATCGTCAATCAATCATCAATCCATCACCATCAATTAATCATCGTCAATCAATCATCATCAATCGATCATCATCAATCGGCCATCGTTAATCAGTCATCATCAACCATTCATCATCAATCAATCATCTTTAATCAGCCATGCTCAATTGATCATCGTCATCATCGTCTCAATCAGTCATCATCAAATAATCATCATCAAGCAGTCATCATCGATCATCAATCAAGCAATCATCATCAATCAGTCATGATCAATCACTCATCATCAGTCATTCATGACCAACCATTCACCATCAATTAATCATTTTCAATCAATCATGATTAATCAATCGTCCTCAATGATTCATCGTAAATCAAGCATCATGATTCATCATCATCGTCGTAATCTATCAATCATCAGTCATCTTTTATCGATCGTCATTATCATCAATCAATCGTCGTCAATTAATCATCATCAATCGACCACGATCAATCAGTTTTCGGCAATCAATCATGATCAATCTTTCATCTTCCATCATCAATCTCTATTAACTCGTCATCATCAATCAACTTTTATCGATTGTCATTATCATTAATCACTCATCATCCATGAATCAATCATCATCATTATCAGTTCATCAATCATCATCGATCAATCACCTTCTATCAATCAATCATCATCAATGGATCACCATCAATCGGCCATCGTCAATCAGTCATCATCAAGGAATCACCATCAACTATCCACCATCAATCAATCAATCATCCTGAATCAATCTTCGTCAATCCACCAATCATCATCAAACCCCCGGAAGTCATCATCAATGAATAACCATCAATCAATCAAACATCATCAATCAATCAATCATCATCAATCAACTAATCATCATCAATCAATGAATCATGATCAATCAATCAATCGTTGCCAATCCATCATCATCAATGTATTATCATCAATCAATCTTCGCCATAATCAGTCATCATCAATCTATCATAATCAATCGATCACCATCAATCAGTCATCGTCAATCAATCATCATTTATAGATTGTCATTATCATCAATCATCTTCCATAAATCATCCATCATCTTCCTCAATTATTATCGATCGATCAACATTAATTAATCATCGTCGATCAATCATCATTAATCAATCAATCATCGTCAATCAATCATCGTCAATCGATCATCATCAATTACTCATATTCGTTCAACCGTGTTCAATGAATCATCATCAGCGGTTCATCATTAATCAAGCATCATCATTCATCATCATCATGGTCTCAATCAATCGTCATTAAACGATCAATCATCAATGAGTCATCGTCAATCAATCAGCATCAACCATTCATCATCAATTAATCATCTTCATTCAACCATGTTTTATCAATCATCATCAGTCGTTCATCATAAATCAAGCGTCATCATCGTCATATTCAGTCATCATTAATCAATCATCATCAATCAATGGTCATCAATAAATCATCATAATCAATGAATCATCATCGTCAATCGATCGTCATCAAACAATGATCATCATCAATCAATCATCATCAATCAGTCGTCACCAATCAATTATCATCAATCAATCATCATAAATTAATCGTCATCAGTCAGTCATCATCATCATCAATCAATGATCTTCACTCAACCGTGATTATTCAGTCATCATAAATCAAGCCTCAGCGTTAATCATCATCATGGTCATAATCAGTCATCATCAATCAATCATCAAACTGCATTATCAACGAAAACAACTACCATGGTCACTTTTTGCATTCGGAGGATAGTTAGCAATGTTACTCCCACTCATACGGAACTGGTCAACCATGTAATTTTGAACAGCTTGAATAATAGATGGCCATCTCTACCATTTGCGTGAGGGTGATGCGCATTTCTTCGACCACACTTGTTATCTCATATACTATGGTCAAATATGGGAAATCCTACTACTCGAGAATAGACTAGGCATGAAACAATAAAGCAAGATCTATCTATTAAAGAGGATAACACTCAATGTTCAAAGAAAATGAAAAGGTCGTGACTGTCCCACTAATTTGCAGTTTAAATACAACGGTTGGAAGCAAGAAGTACAAAGAGGTTGTATAGACCATGTTTTCGCTCTTCGACGAATTCTGGACCATAATCATTCTTTTAGTAAACTCACCATTTCTTCCTTCCTCGATATTAGACTCAATCTATCGCCCTATACTCTGGTGCTACATTTCCCTAACGGATGTGACCGACAGGTTTGTTTGAATCTTACGATCTCTTTATGCCTATAGTCAAAATCGAGTGCGATCTTGCGTCACTTTTTTTGCTTCAGTGCACCACTGAAAAGCAGTGTCCGTCGGGGTTGCTGTCCTCTTTTCTATTCGATTTTGTTATAGATTTAATTTTTGAAACACCACTGTTCTCATGTCATTATAGTGGCATGTATTTTCTCCCAGGTGAAATACTGTCTAATCTAGATTATGCATACGACATTATACTGCTAGGGAGAGATCCAGGTAAGTTGCAAGCTTTTCTGTTTGAGTGTCTGTTTGACCATGTTCAGTATGCATTTTGCATCTTCAAAGTGTAAAATGTTGCTACAGGACTGGGTTGATCCATCTTCAGATCTCACTCATACTGGAGTAGTAACAGAGAAAGTGAAAAAGTTTTGCTATCTGTCACACCTGGCGGGCGCATCACTATTCAACTTTCGGCACGCATACCGAAGGCTCAATTAGCATTTGATAACTTGAGACATCTCTTTTGCCATCGGGATCATTGCTCCTGATGCTTAGAGACAGTGGGTGGTGGTGGCGCAGTGGTTTAGTTCATTGTCACCAGTGTGCCTTGGACCCTGTAGTCCAAGGTTCGAATCCCGCCACCGTCAACAAACTTTGCTGTTGCCCGGTTCTATACCACGCCTGGATTATCGGGGCCTTATGTGGTTCGCCACTCCAAGGCCCGGGGATTAGGGTGCGGGTTACCATATCTGGACAGCAGATCTTCGCGACTATCGGGTCCACCGTGACTGCTGTTCATCACACACTGATGTGTAATAAAAAATGGTTGTGCCGCAAACAGTTGCCCTCTTGCATCTACTCAATTTCCCCACAATTTTAATCCTCATGAATTCCCTATTTTGCGCACTGACATGTATTCGAACATTCCAATCTTCCCTTGACTCCTTCATCCAAGTGACAGACTAACAACAGTAACGAAAACCACAGCACGAAAGTGCATGAATAAAGGTTTCAAAATTCATACGAAGAGGTGTGACGTTTGACTTTGCTGATTCTGTTAGAAGAGTATTTGTGTGTTAAACCCACTGGTATTGAGTAGAAGAATATGACCTATTCTGTTTAAATCGACTACTCAGCAAATCCTGTTCTTCGCGGGGTCATATAAGGCCGTTTCATAATTCCTGGTTTAACAGAATGTGTTTGATGGCAGTTGAAATGGGTATCTAAAACTATCATTCCTGGTGATATGGTCTTTGTTCATATAGACATTGAAGTCTGCTAATGAACATCGGTCACCTAGCAAATGCATCACTCAGACTGGGAATTATGTGCAATGCCACCCGATTTCCAGAAGTCAGGAGGTTCACAGCTGCTACTCATACGGTAATGCAAAGTATCATTCGGTTCGGTAAAACAGCTTTTATGTTTTTCTCCATATCTTTTCAGAGGTGGACGATTTGCTTTCCCAAACCACATCGTCACGAATGAATTCTCAATGTTTCAATGATTTTATTATTTTCCCTCTCAGCGCATTGCATAGTGACACGTTAAGGAAAGCAGACCAACCTCGTGACCTTTTGTTTGATGAACTTTTATTTTGTGTTCAATAAAGTTGTGCTATTTAAAATTTCTGGTTCAATTATTTGTTTATTTGTTCTTTTGTTTACGATTTTTTTCATGATTACGATGACCGGCTTACAGCCAATGTCAAATACCTTATTAAATGAAGGCAAATAAGTACGTTTTGCGGGAACACCGCTATTGTCATCGTCATTGGTGACAGGCGTGTTTGTGGTTGTTTAGATCAATATCACACATCCTATCGAACCCTTATGTGGTTCGCTACCTCAATTCCAGGGAATCAAGTTGCCAGTTATCGTGTGAACCTCTGGTTCTCGTGCTGTGCATCACGCCAGTGGAGGCATACACAAGTTTTTTCTATAGTTTGCAGTTCTACGCATGATACAAAGACAATCGAATTTAGGTTACTGTGTTCAGATTACCCCAATCGATTGTTCCGAGGTGCCAGGCACTCTTGATAGTCTTCAATGTGGGTCACACTCCTGTTAAGAAGGAAACAGCAGTACGTACTTTTTGGGTCCGTGTCAAGGTTTGAAGTCTCAACCCATAGGTTCGCGGCTCGAGTCCTGACGGGGACACAAAAAAGTACACACTGCTGACTAGTCCCAAACAGAACGAAACAGCTGTCCAGTGCTCTTGGTCGCTCATCACAAATGTTTCCATCACAATTCATAGCTTTCGTTTGATTTAACTTTTAAAACGAATCTCAATATGTCGGTTAGGAAATTATTTAACTAATATCACTATCGGCCAACTGCTAGTATTCACTCGGAATTGAGTAACAGATAAGTTTCCAACATAGTGGCCATGATCACGGTCCAAACCGCATTGAATCTCCCACTACCACAAAAGTGGCTCAGTGCTGACGGATTTGGACCTCAAATCACCATTCCCGGTATTTCTGATGCTTTCCAATTATTAGTTGCGCTTGGTGTTAACTTATCCTACTTGTCCGATGATCTTCACCTTGACAACTAGCAAAATGCCAACGTAATTTCCCTTCTTATCCTAACCGAATAATGAATATGGGTGATACTGTAAAAGTAGAAATTCCGGCTCTCAGTATTATTTTTGTGAGTGTTCATTTTTTATCGCAACATTCACCTATTATTGTCATTGATCTAACAATAACTGGTAATCACATTCGCTTCTTTGTTATATTGTGATTCAGTGAACCATTACTCGTTCATATCGTTTTCGGATACTTATAGTGACCAGCTTGATTTTTGCAAACCATTCACCAGTTATTACCATGGACTAACCGTGTAATATCGTTTCTTTGTTTGCATTCATTCGCGCTCGCTTTTCTCTTGTCATTTTGTTTCATCTTCTGTCCTCTATGCCTCATTATCTGCCCTCAAACGAACTCCATTGGGCACCCAAATCCCCCATATTATTACAGCCGTTTACGACTTCGAAATTGGATCCTTCGATCAATTTCCTATCTCCAGTCACCACCTTTGCAACATCTGCATCCCATACGCCGGAAGCTTGTTTGAGTTTACACGGAGATGAGACCACTAGGGACTACGGTCGGCGAGAACAGTCAACTGTCGCACTATTTGGTGGAACTCAGAGTCTTTCGGTCCCAACGAATGTAGTCCGACAAATGCGTCATGCGTTTTTTAGTCCGGCTCGTTCTGGATCACGTTCCCGGCGATCGGGTTTGCGATTCGGCATGCAGCCGGACGGGGATGATGAGGAGATCGTGGAGGACGTGGATCAGCAGGATGATCATGTAAAGCAAAATGGTACAGATCGAGACGTTGAGAACTGGCCGCAGATACGATATGATCTGAAGCAGAGCGGTTGCGGAGGAAGCAAACGGTTTCCACCATCTCCCGCCTCTATGTATGAAGAAGAAATCAACGGGCAAAAGTTTGGTGTCCCTCGTCCGGTCGGTGGGTTGGACTCAAAACCCGATGAAAAATCATTTTTTATACGTTATTCTACCGATCTGGCAGCTGTTACCACTTTGTGGACCAGCGGTATGCGGTTTTTATTTCATTCACTCTTTATTCCTGACCTCTAACGGTTTACTTCTCACCTGTGATGATTCTGACCACCATCTTGCCGCTCTTCCATTGAACAGTACTCCCTGACCATATATATGTTTCGTCACACAGGGGTCGGACTCACGCCACTGGCGTACTGACATGTTAGGCCGCATTATGGCGAGTTCATTTTGACAGTCAAGGGGAGGAGAGCTATGATATCTCGCGCAGTTGCCTGTCCTATCAGAGCTTTATGAGGTCCGAAGATTTCATTTTTGGCTGGCGTTGGGTCTTTACACTCACGCGGCTGACTCAATAAGGATCGTATCCGATGTGTCTTGTGTGAACAAATTATGTTCCAGCCGTGATAGACTCACTTCGAGTAAAGTGCTTTCTGACGCAGTCTGTGCAGTGGAGAGTTTTCGCACCTGTCCTTGTCCCGAGCGAAAGCAAATTGTGTTGGTGAGGGAGGAGAAACGGAATACAGTAAAGGAGCCAGCCTTACGATGCGCGTCAAAATCTGCGAAATACAAACTGAAAAGCTACACAAATCATATATGGTGAAAGTTCCTGGGTCATTATTACCAATTTCCACAGCCAAACGTGATCTGTGTAGAGTTGATTTCCTCTGCTATTCCACGCGATAGGAATTCAGACTGTTCGCGTTATCGGATCACGAAGTTTTCCTCCACCTTTTATTAGGTTCGAATGTCTAAGCATTGTTGTCCACTTTAATTCGCGGCAATCTCATTCGAATAACCGAATATGCGTAAATTGGTGAGTCCCGAACTAAAAACAAATGATGCGTATGTTCACGAAATAAAAATTACCTTTTTTGAAATTAATGTACTCAATAAAATGCGGTTTGGCATCATGTAATGTCAGGAAGTTGTTTACGTAGGAAAGTTTTAACTGG